CAAGAAGGCCATAAACAGATGATTTATGAATCTCGCCACTAATTCCGGACTGTCAGAATCCTCACCTCCCCATATACCTGTTGAAGTTTCAGTGTTTTAAGAGAATTAAAGGAATTGGACTTCCACATATGTTGGGATATATATTTTTTAACCCCCACATATGCTGTTGCTTTGCCCTTTGAGCTCTGATGGTGTCGTTCCTTTTCTTGTCCCAGGAAGAACACAGCTTTGAGAAGGTGCCAAGTGGTGATTAAAGAAAGCGGCAGGGAGGAGGGGCAGCACTTGTGCCATGTGAATCTCTTCCCTCTTGCTCTGCCTACAGAAAGAAACGAAACTAATATTCTGACCCTTCTGCCCCACCCAGGGAAGGACTGACTCTGGTTCTGGAACTTTTTCCACCAGCCACAGAAACCATTGCTGGTACTTTTCATGGTGCTAAGCACGGATGAGCTTCCCCGCCGGCCAATCTCTCTTCCTGAGGAAAAAAAAAAAAAAAAAAGATACACACAAAAAATTATATGTCACACTTCACCCTCCTAGAGTGCATCGGTGGTGACGATTCTGTAACACCTGAGGCTCCACACATGCAGTTTAATGCCCACTTCATCCATCTTAGGATATCAAACAATTGACCCTTCTAACATAGTAAACCATTAACAATCCTCTGATTATCTGTACACAGACATAGCAAATTATATAGAGCAATTACAACTTTGGTTGTAAAATTAACAAAGCACTGCTAAGTATTTTAATGGAATCACAAGCCAAATAGATCAGCTTCTCAATAAGTACTTTAACCCCCTTAGCACATAGAGAAGGTGAGCACAGTCCTACACTATTTCAAAAACCTGTCAGCATAACATGCACACGCTTCTCACAGCTCCAGTGCCATGGAGTGACAATCGTTTCCCTTCTCTTGTCTTCCTTTTAGTCCGACTTTTTCATTGGGTTTGCCTCCACTCTTCTCTGTGGGTCCGTAATTTTACCAGACCTTTCAAAGTAGAAACAACATCCTGCCAGCTACGGTCCTGGGGTCTAGGTGACTTAGCAGTAAGTTCTTGTTGGGTCTTGACATAGGTGTGTGGTCTCAGGGGGTTCAAAACTACCCCATTGCTCTCTTTCCTTAGGTGATCTCTACTAGACACCTCAGTAAGGCTTTATAGTCCACACTGTTCTCATAGGTATATATATATTTTTAACAACATATTTCCTCCCCCTAATTGTGTTCTTTTGGCATCTCAAAGCCTGCTAAATATGCTAAGGAGACCTGACCTATTACCAGGGTTAAGTGCCCTGGAGCTGTACTCAGTATTCTGTAGTAATCAGCAGGGGCCTTTGGAGGACCCCATTCTCAGGAGGTGGGAGCATCCGCGTTAAGTAAAGCTGGACACTAAAGTTGCAAGAACAGATTCTAATCTGTAATATACAATTTCAATAGGAAAAGAATGCAGCTTGAATTGAACTGAACTTTGATTTGTACAAAGGTGACTGGGCATATGGAGGGGAGTCAACAGTGGCTGCGTAGAATAGGGAAGAGAAAAGTGACAAAAACAAGGAAGGGGGGTGGGTCCATGTGAAACCCACGTGGGTTTGTTAACTGGCACTTATCTGAAGTTAGGCTCCTATACTCCCACAGAGCTGGGAGACAGGGGCCCTATCTTCAGGTGCCAGCTGGAACAAACAGTGGATTCTTCTGGCAGCTGTGAGTTTTCTCAGGCAGGCTCTTTAAGAGGGGCTAGGGTTATCCTAGGGATGTGGACTTGAGCTGTTAGAAATGATGTCAAGTCTTTATGAGCAAAGGTTGAGGTCTAGTTGAAAAGAAGGCTCAGAGGAGCATGGCTAGAGTTTGGTCAGGGAGAGAATCTTCACCAGGGGCTCCCCGGGTAGTGGGCTCTCCTTTTATAAGGATTTGGCTCATTCATCTGTTAAACACACTCTTGAATCCTTGTCCTCCTTTTTGTTCACATTCTTGATTTATCTGCTATTTGGTACATTTAGCCTTACTTCATGATGTTACCCCCTCCTCCAGCTCACACAGAAAAATTATGTACTATAAACTGATTCTAGTAGAAGAAACAAAATATTTGTTTCATATTAACACTTCCTGTATTAGCTTCTTGTGACTACGTACACTTAGTCCCTCACAGTTGTGGAGGCCAGCAGTCTGAAATCTATTTTACTGGGCTGAAATCAAGTTGTCAGCAGAACCACGCTCCCTCTGAAGGCTGCAGGAGAGAATCTATCCCTCGCCTCTCCCAGCTTCTGGGGCTGCTGGCATTCTTTGGCTTGTGGCTGCTTCACTCCAATCTCTACCTCTTTGGTCACACTGCCTTCTTCTCTTTTTCTGTCTCCAATCTTCTCCTGCCTCTCTCTCACAAGGGTACATGTGATGACATTTAGGGTCCACCCGCATAATCCAGGATAATCTCTTCAATGCAAGATCATTCATTTAATCACATCTGTGAAGACTCTGACATATAAGGTAACATTCACAGGTTCCAGGGATTAGGAACTGATATCTTATGGAGCTGCTATTAAGGCTACTATATTTCCCTACTTGGTAAAATTGATAAAAGTTAAACATATTTCATTATATGTATCCGCTCACACTGGCTTTTAATATGTTAATATGAGTTTTCTTCTTTTGTAGGTCATTATGAACTTGAGGTCTTTCAAAGTTTTGCTTAAATATTAATATTTGGTGTTCATTGTGGCCAGTGGGCCCTGTAGGCTGGTTCCTTTGTCCTTTCTATGCTGCCCCTGATATTTGTGAGAGAATTCCTGCTCTCAGGGACCGTAGGTGACTACAGAGCCTTTATGAACTTCTCTGTCTCTACCCATGGACCTGGCTATCCTACAAGAATTCCTTCTTACTCTGGCTTGAGCCAACTTCAGATTCAATGCCTGGGCACTGCGGAAAGGGTGTGTGAGTTGGGGGGTGACAAGCACTGCTGCAGTGGTACAGGGGCCATTTTGAGGAGTTTTCAAGATGAGAAAGATTAATCTTTTTAAGGTTCTGTGTTCCCAATGGTTTGTCCATTGTAATAAGCAACATCGTTAGGGAGTTCAGGGCAACCGCCCAAATATGCCACTTTTTTTTTTTTTTTTTTAATGCAGAAAGAAGGGCACTTTTATTTTTTACTTCATATGCTTTTGCACTGTTGGATTTTTTCCAACATTTATATTTTATAATAAAACTCATATAAAGGGAAAATGTCCAATTTGTA